GGAAGCCGTTCTCGGAATCATTTTCGTTTGCATTCTACTTCTAAAACACCATAACCTTTTAAACTGTTTGATATGCGCGGCATTTTGAGTACTCCTGCATGCGATTCACGTACGACTGAAAACAACTGACAAAGCAATAAGAAAAAGATTTTGACAAACAATCAACACAAAAAGTATAATTCAATGAAACATTTGAAGTACATTCCACCCCAAATCAGATTTTGACTAGAATAAAAATAGGAAAGTTACAATAAAAGATGCCGCAGTTTTTTTCGATTTTAGCTTAATCCGAATCTTTTTTACAGATTTTCAAAATGCAGAATTTCTATCTTAGGCCGTGACATTCTTGGCCTGGGGTGAGTGACGTATTTTGAGGCATTGTTCTCTTTGATATGCCCAGCATGCATGACAGAGTTTGACGTACATTCGCTCTAAATAGGGAGTTTAACGCGACGACGGCGAAAAAGTCACTTAAATAGTGGCTTTTAGCGCGTTATTTAAAATTCCAGGGCGATTTAGTATCCCGACTCCCTCACTTTTAATTTTCAATTTACAGTATATATGGTCCTTGGTCCGGCCGGTTTTACTTTGTGATGTAATTTCTGGGAGAAAAACAAAGGTTCAATCCAAACGAAACTTTCCAAGTGCTCATTGATCTGTTTGCCTTCTTAAGCTCGACTTCACGCTTTCCTTATGCTAGCGAAGTTGGGAAAATCAAGTTAACGCATACGTAGGTGAATTTTGTTCTGTTATTTTTGTCTTTTTGTGGCCGCGCCTTAAATGATTAGTTGGATATATATTTTGAATTCAGGCATATGCGATTAAGTGCTTTAAGAGAGCCAATTTTTGGTGTACATGGCATTCAAGAAATGTTCTTTCGACTTGCAAAACAAATTTGGTCGAGAAGTTGAATTTCAAAACCAAATGTTTATAATAGATGATATTTTCAAGTAAAGTTTGCGCATTAGGTCGTTGTTTCGGCCACCGGACGATATCATAAATCATCCAATAGAAACTGAAAAAGGAGAGCCTCAGAAAGTTCAGTTTTCTTTTCCTTTAGTTATTAGTAAATTAAGATTTCCGACTTGAAGCGGGTTTTTCAACTTTCAGTCATTTGATTTATTTTTTTTTTTTTTTACGGTCGTTTCGCCAACGAGTCGTTAAAGCACTTTCAAGGATTGGAGTAAATCAGGATAAAAACCGCTTGCAAGCTTTCAGTAATTTAAATACATTCCTCGAGACTTTCCCGGTAACACTGCACTTAATTTATTAAGTAATGATATAAAAGGCCAAAAAAAGGAAGTTTATATCCGTCCGTCAATAAACTCAAGCAATACGTTTTGACAAGCAAACTGACATGACTCTACAAATGCATGACGTACATTTATTGTTTACGCTTTTCGGTCGGATTTCTTTGCCGTCGCTGCACGAATAAGACATGAAGTTTCCTATTTTAAATTTTTTCTTGAGGACGTCTTGTCAGCGGATACCCTGTTTTGACAGCTGTCACTTGATTATAAAATGAATGTGCAGTAGATCATTGCACACTAGCCTCCATTAGCTTACTACTAATGGATAGAATCAAATTTTCTTAGCCATGGGGCTAATCTAAAACATACTCCTCCACTGACGGGCTGACTCCTGACTCCCCTCCCCTCCTCCCAGGGTCTGTACGGTCAGCGTTCGATCGTACGCTGATGTCATAACCAAATTTTCTCGGATGGATAGATTACCAAGTTATCTTAAATATGGTGCTCCGCCCGCGCGCGCTTGCGCGCGCACGAGGAGCTCCCCTATCAATGATCGGTTAAAAAATCCTTCAGTGTTCTAATGTAGCTTAGACCGTTGTTTTTACCTTGGCAATATTTTAAAAAAAAGTTAATGAGGGAGTTTTTGAAATATACTTTTCTAAAAATCTTGCATCCTTAAAAATGTCTTTTTCACTTTTTTTAATCATCAAAAATGGTGATTTACAGAGCCGGTACTATCCAAATTTATATATTTAGATTAAGGTGCGGATCAGATGTTTGAATCGCCCTAGCTTTGCGATCACACATTTTGTTATTCATACCGACAACATATATTTGCTCATGTAAGCGTGAAGAGGTGTCATTTAAAGTCGATTTATTCTGTTTCAGAAACGCCAAACAAAATAATTCACCACCCATTTGCCAGTTTCCTTAATTTTAGATTATTGTTCAAGTGACGTGTCACTTCAGCATAATTAAACGTTAATAAGGCACAATATTTACGTTTGCATGTTTGGGGAAAAAATTCATATTGCTCTAAGTATCCTAACAAGAGATATTGCCAATCAATTATATTCCCCGAGCACGCCTTTGACCCAGGCCTAAAAAGCTCCTTAAACCAATTGAGTAAATGGCATCATGGTTCATGTAAAACACTCTATCAACAAAACTAAATGGAACTGCAGCATTGCCTGTCCCAACGTCATCAGTCGATCTATTAACTAAATAATACAGTTCCCTATTGTCTTCTTTTTGTTGCGTTCGACGTTAGGAGAACGCAACTCCTAATCTTGGACATTCTGTGGTTCTTGGCTATTCTGCGGTATAAAGAGGTGACATTTAACAAGTTTGCCTTTCTCGTCATTCTTCATGTCTATTCGGTGGCAACTTGAATTACATCATGGCGTACTATTGTCACTTGCTAAGCAACAAAAAATAGGTGCACCTGCAGCAGCTTAATATCTTTCTTTCAACAAAATAACAACTATGACACCGATGATATTGCACTGGCTTTTTGATGAATGGATAATCGAATCGGTGCGAGAAACAATAAAAAACAGGGTTCTAGACTAATTGAAATGTTTGTTTACGTTTTACAAGTCAACCGACTTTGTAAACAATCTACTTCATGCAAGAATGGAGCAACTTTTTTTCCAATTCTGATGTTTGCGTGAGACACTTCAATTCGTATTTGGTTTTCAATATCTCTTGATGATATCAGGGCACGGAACTCCTTTGCCCACCGAGTGTTTTTCCGTTCGTTTTAACTTTTGTTATATCCTCGAATATAATAATTAACTTTGAGGCATTTCCTTGCACATCCGATCAAAAGATAATTTAACTTCCAACGCACTCCATTGCATATTACTACTTCTCAAACTCATTAATAATTCATAAAGAGAACACAGTGGAAATTAATCTTTAATGAGTGTTTGCAAATCAGATGAAAAACTGCTCATTTTCTATTCTTAATTTCTCCTTCTAAAATCATTTTGTTTAAGAAGTAAAATAAAGCACTCGACACAGTATTTCATCACCAGATGAAACACCTCGAAGTTCGTCGAAAATACTCAGCTGCCCGTCGTATTTTCGACTCTCTTCTCTGTGCTTCATCTGGTGATGAAACACTGCGTCTCATGCTTGATATACTAGATCTTTGCTGATAAAAACCATGAAACAAATTTTAAATAACAGTTATCGTGAAAATACATACAGAATCGACCTTTATTTTTGTTTTAAGAATATCAATTAAGCCATTTTGCATGAAAATGAATATTCAATAGTACGTATAGCCATTTTAAAGTTTAACAAGGTCACTAAAAATTGCCTTAAGCAAATATCGACAACAGTAGTTGACGGGATGCCAGGGCATTTCAAATACATTTATTGGCCCTTGCACAACCCCAAGGCCGTCCGAGTGGGGAAGAAATTGTATAGTACTGGAAACTAGGATCGATTGTGTTCCTTAATAGAAAGCAAACACGAAAAAAAGTACACGGACAACATGACAGCGTAATTACTCTAGAAAGGGATAGCTTGGAGCTTTAAACACAGTGCTTGAAATTTGGACCAAAAATATTGACAGAAATTGAGTTGCCATACTGAACACTTCACTCTGATAGAGCCGATGGTGAGATAGAAGAGACCTTTCACCTTTTTCATCTGATCATAATATTATCTTTTAGTTCATAGTTAGGATTCGTTACTTCACTCTAATTTTACCTTTGCACATTCAGGTTTTTAATACACTTGGCCATGGGTAAGTGTAGTGTATGCAATATGACACTAGAAAGTAAAGATGTTAAACAACCTCTTTATCCCGTTGTGTCTCTATCGGGTCCTTTTTGCAGTTTCCCTGCTTGTCGAGAGCAGTCAGGGTACATAAAAACAAATTCTTCATCTTTTTATTTGCACGCTATAATATGATTTTGTGATAATGGTAATTTTGTGGCGTCCGAAGTCGGAAGGAGCAGAAGAATTTGTAAGATGGAACTAGCTCGCAAAGAAGAAATTAGCATACGTCTCAAAACAACTGTGTTGTTAATTCATCAATGTCTTAACGTGTGCTTTTAAAAGTGGTTTAAAAAGTATGTTAATATCTTGGTTCAAGTCTATTTGTAGATATTCTGATCTTTTCTATAACATGCACCCAGCCTTTCAACAAAGCGGTTGCAGTTTTTCCAGGGAGCGTTCAGGTTAGCTTGTCCCCAGTCCCCAATTAAGCTTCCTAAACCTTAAAATTGATAACCTATTAATACGTTTTAATAAATGGTGACGTGTGCTTTACATCACGTTGAATCAAATACGATTGTCTTTAGACAAATGTCTCATCAGGAAATACCAAGCTCGAGTGCTCTCAAATAAAACGACGACAGAAAGACTACAGAAAACAAATACAAATAATGATCTATTAGCCCTCTGAGTAAGAGATGAGACAACTGAGTATGAAATATTTGTTTAAGTTATAAAAGAAACTGTAAGGCACTTCATTCTAAATCAATTTTTTGAGATACGCCACAGATATCTCGCACCTCCCTATTATTTTCAATATTTCGTTTCTCGTCTTTTGCATGTATTCAAGTATTTCTTACAATAATTCCTACGGCCTATATATCCTTTAGGTTAAAAAATAAACTCAATTTCAGTACCGTTGCTTGTCAGGCACTTGACCTATCACCCTCCTATTCATCAAGAGCGTATATAATAACATCTGAGAAAGGCTTCTTCATTAAAAGCAATGATGCCGAACAAATTCACCGTGTCCAGTTACGTCTGTGCTGCGTCTTTTTCGCTCTTTGGCCTCTCGTCCAAGGCAGTAAAGGTACATAAACTTGAAAATTCTCATTTATTTTGTTACTCATTATAATCGCTGTTTCTTGCTAAAGGTGATTTCTTAGCGTTTGAAAATAGCAAGAGCAGATGAAGTTTTAGGGTGTGGCACGTTCGCAAAGAAGAAATTGAATTGCGTCGAAAATCAGTTGTGGGTTCAGTTAATGGGTTAACATTGAAATAATTATAAATAACTAGTTATAAAAAAGTCGTATTGTTTGTGTTCTTATAATTGACATTGCAATTTTTTTTAATTTCTATTTCTTTTAAATAGCAGGCATCTTTAAAGCTGGTAAAGCCGACGTGACTACAGTTTCTCCTGGGCTATTCGCTTGCCAACAGGTCTCGTTTGCGACACCTTTCCATGGCGGACACGAAGTTACCGTTCTTACTTCACTGGGTCGTTCTATCAAAAGCCCTACTCGTGGTAACGGGAGCGCCATCTGGGTGGAGTCAGTAGATCAAAGTGGTTTCAAGGCTTGTATTCTAGAATACAGTGATGGGTCCAATAACACAGCAGAGGTGAACTGGATAGCAACACAATCTGCTCCAGCTGGAGGTAAAAGGGGATCTACATCTTTTGGCGATTGGACAACAGGAACACAGTGCAAAATAATTAGTTTTCAGCAGGTAAGTGTTTTGATTTGCAATATTTCCATTTTATAAGGGATCATGGCATCAATATATGAACGGTATAGATACCTTGAGACGGTTGTAAACATTTCATTGGTTCTTCGGTTCATTCTAAAGGTTTCTTTCTTTCAATTTTCTTTTTTTTTATCGTATGAGTTTCTTCTTTCATGGCAAGCCTTACTTTTCTCTTGAGATGAAAGAAGAAGTACAAATTGACAATAACTTATCAAATATGTAATCTAAAACCTTTAAAGTTTTATGAAAAGTTTTTTGGGTTGTTTTCAGCCTTTCCTGTCACCCCCAGTCATACTTGCAACCCCTAGTCACCAGACTCCAGAGAGACCTCAGGATGCAATGGCCGTGTGGATGGAGGACTCGCGCAAGGACAGTTTCAAGATTTGTGTCAAGGAATCTAAAATTTTCGATGGAGTTCACAAAAGTATTGAAGTTGTAAGTAAAGTAGTAGTTACGACACGGCAGCCGCCTCAAATTAAAGGGTTAAAATAATTCATCCCACCTGAAAATGATAATTTCAATTGATTTATTTCTATGGACGCCTAACTGAAATTAACCTTGTCATACAAAAAGAAAAGACAGAAAGCAGGAATAAAGCCAAGAAGGAATTATTTAGCGATCTCTATGCAAATTAAGATTTGATATTTTGTTAAGATAAGGAACTAAACCCTTTTTGCAGTACAATATAATTACATTTCAATTTGACATCAAATTTAAGGTCAAGTTGGCCACACCAGACATTTTAAGCTTTATCCTCTCGCCAGTGCCTGATCTTTCAAAATTAATTAATGTTTTACTTCTCGGCAGTATCGACCCACTTAACTTATTTCTGGAGAGAGGTTGAGATGGAAGGGATAACGGGACATTTATATTCCACTTTATTGTTTGCCAGGTCCGCTGAAAGGCAATACTCCTGATGCTTGTATTGTTGGCGCGTTGCAAATTCATTTTCTTATCAGCTACCAATTCACCTCAACATCCACAAAAACAGCAGGGAAATTTGACGTTGCGTATCTTATAAGCTCTGAGCGCCAGCATAGACTTTAAAATACGTTTCCTGATAACGAGAGGAAGGATTTATTGCAAAAGAGTAAGATTTTCCGTATTGAGAAGAAAGACTTGGTTAATGAGAAATGCGCTATAGTGCCTTCAATTGACCTTAATCTGCCAGCAAAATGGTCTCAAATGGAATATTATCTTCCCACTGCAGGTTATAATGAGAAACAAAGATTTTATACTTTGCGCTACCATGAGACCTACAAACCAGATAGATGACCTTTGAAAGTCAGTTTGTTCTAAATAGAAGACATATTTCCCGTCTTATATCTTCACCTACATAGCCTTGGGTGTTTCTTAGACAATGCACAAAAAAAAGATATATTTAATTGTTATTTTCTTAGACTTTTTACTAAACTAAACAGGGACTATTATTGGTGGATTCGTGGTTAAGTTGCCTTGACTAAATTCAAATGTGTCCCGATCATGAAACCAACATTGTTTACCCAATTCAGACCACGTACGTGATGTTCTCAAGGGAATTTCCCTTTTGTCTATTCATAAGTTTGCATACATATGCACTTCATCAAGTCATGATGGAAAGTGGTGTGACACACAGATGGTGGAAAAAAACACTGCCTGTTTTCACTTTAAAGGGCCTGTTTAGATGGAGGACGGGGGGCCCCAGGTAGGTGCGGTAACCCGCTCAATTGGATAAAAAAAATATCCGCGTTTACATGCAATCTTGCAACCCCATCATCCCGGGGTGCACATTCTCAAGATTATTTAATGGTCGTTAAGAAAGTACATCCAGGATAATTGTACAAAGCTAAATATGAATAAATTTGGCACGCTCATAACTCACCTCTATCAGCGATCCATTCTCATTGCATAATAAATTAGCTCGGAGCTAAATTTGGTGTATTCCATTCGCATTCCCCGTGATGGTAGCCTGCGTAGCATGGCGGTTTTGGTTGGGCGCGCTAAGTAGTAAAGGGGGGCGAGGACAGAGAAACCGCGAGGAGATTGGGGCGGGAGCAACTTGAAAAACCGCCTGCACGGACGGGGGGGCTTTTTTGAGTCAGTCCGTACGCCACCGTACGGATCGTTCCGATTGGTTCGGAATGTTCGCCTGTCAATCAAATATTTTGGTAATCTCCCATGGGAGAGTTTCGACTGACTGAGGGACAAAATCAAAATATCAAAGAAGCGTTGACCGGGGCGTCGTCGATCTTGAATATTTGACGGGAAAACAGGGCAATTGTATTGAAGCCTAAACAGAAAATGGCCATTTACGGTCTTCTTCAAAGGAGAGATGTCATGGAAATTTTGTCAACAAGATTTGGCAAGAGCATGATCTTTACTGTCTTTGCTATGGCCAAAGAAGAAATATCCTCTTCGAAAACCTGTATGATCACAATTTCCCCTCTAAAAAGTACTATCGACGACCAGATATCCGAAATGTTGTCGCTGAGCTGTACATGCAGCAATGGACCTTATTACAGAAACAATAAATTTCAGTGCTTCGAGAAAGTTCACCTCAATTTTCTCTATTACGCGGTGTTAGAGAATAACGCACTCCAGCGCAATACATCGAACGGTGTCCGCGATTCTGGTCGATGAATCGCATACAGTAGAAGAAAGACGCACAGCGTAATTCTCCATACTTTTTTGCTTGGTGTAGCTTAAGTTTAAGCTACAACTCAAATCTGAAGATCGCGCTATACGTGAAAATACAACATCCTGCAAACAACACTTAAAAAGTCGGGCCCAGCGTCAAAACATTCACGGACAAAGAAACTACAAACCAAGGCTCCCTGGTTTGTACTTGTCCAGATCCAGGCATTTTAGTCGGAAAAGACCAAAGAAACTAAAATATTTATTTAGCCGTAATAAAAAGCTTTAGGCTTTAAGAGTGGTCAAAGAAATTAGTACTTTACAACTGCATCTGAGATCAACAAATTCTAATTAGCAACACTAACATTAACCACAGGAAATAATTACTCAATACGGATTAAACAAACCAACTTCATGACCTCTAAATAAATGTAAGATAGATAGATAGATAGATAGATAGATAGATAGATAGATAGCTTTATTAAAAATCCATTGCAGCCCAAGGGCTGGATTACGGACTGTACAATACGTTGAATACTAAGACTAACTATTATAAATAAATATCAGTAAATAAATAAAACAAAGGAACAAAATACAACGTCATGAAATTTAAGAAAATAGCCGCGAATTTACAATAAAACCATTAGAAAATAGCCGCGTTATGCATGATAAAACTATTCATTAGTCTATTTGTTCTACAAAGAGGCACGTTAAAAACGCGCTTACTCCTTAAGGCTACAGTACTAAGATTACGTGGCGGCAAAAGGCCATGTAATTTGTGGAGGCTGTTGTCCTTAATCTCATTGAATAGGCGCTCTGTCAGCCATTGGCGCCGTTGGTGGAGGGTGGCAATATTGCACTCTTTTAGAGCCTCTTGATAGCCTAAATCAGGGAAAATAATTCTAAGTGCACGGCGCTGAATTTTCTCTAGCTCTTCAGAGAGATACTCAGGCAGACCATTGTGGAAAACTTGGCAGGCATA